ATTGTCGAAGGAGGAACAGTAGAAGTAGTAAAAACAGCCTGGGGAGGAACGGAAGCAGCCATATCAGCAAAGTAGGAGTCACAGGCACGGGAGGAGAAAAAGAAGCCAAAGGAGCTTCATCAGAAATGGGACCTAAACTTTCACTACCAAACCCGCGGTCAAAAAGCTGCTCAACAGAATCATGAGCAACAGCGGGAGCATCATCAACATCATCAGGGATCACTACCAGGACTTCAACAGATTCGGTTAGAGGAATAGAACGGCGGGGGATGTTTCTGCTTCATCATCGGAAATAATGCGTCTGCGAGCTCGTGGCCTTGTTACCAAGGAACCCCCGTCTTCCTCTTCTTCGGAATCTTGGTCATCAACGGCTTTTCTTTTCGATAAAGAGCCTAGAATTATTTCTTGAGCCCTTTCCAAAGAGATACGAGAAGCCGCAACCACCTCAGCAGTAACTCCTCGAATAGGAAATCCTGATAGAAAAAGGATTGGGTTAAGTTCAGGAAAAAAGAATATGTAAAATAAAATAAAAGCTCTTACCATGAGTTTTTACTTTCCAACCAAAACGTTGGGAAAGGATCTTCCAAGATCTACCATCCATTGGTGCAATACTCAACAGCATTCCTACCCAATCACGGAAATTGGAAACATCTTCCACAACTCCCATGGTTGCTAGAAAGGAAAAGTAAAATTAGAAAAATCAACAAAACTGAAGAAAAAGGTACAAGAAAGTTAGAAGACTCACGTGCAAAATTCCACTTCTCAGGAAAGGGAACGTTCTCATCACCCATTAAACCAACAGTGGGGGAAGCAACAAACCTGGCATACCAGCCACGGTCTTTGTCATCTTCAGGGCTAACTAGAACTCTTTTGCTCCTGGCAACTAGTGTAAAAACATCATTGCGAAAGAATCTAGGAGAGTAAAGATGAATTAGATGTGGAAAAAAGGCACACTGACTATGTTGGTCAAATGCCTCAAACAGGCAACAACCCTCCATATTATTGGGCCAATTTGACCTAAGCAAACATCAAAGAAACAACAGAACTCGAGAATAACAGGATCAATTGCAGGTTTGAATCCTAATGTGAAAGGGTACGTATAGACAAAGGAAAATCCGGTTAAGTAAGAGGTAATTCTTTGATTTGGATTGGGAATAATGATAGGAAAGTCATGACTTCAATGGCAGTCTCTACGAACTAAAGAAATCAAACCTTCAGTGATTTGAGTGGGATAGATATCGGGGTGATCTAAAGAAGATACTTGATTTCTAAGAGTTTCTCTGTCATTATAGAAAGATAGTTCCACAGGAACTATCTCCTCTACTAGAGGTTCACGAAGAGGTTCAGAAGATTCCTTACCTCTAGAAGAAGATCTGTGTGAAAGAGAACCTCTAGTTCTAGAAGAAGGGTCAAAACTAGGCGAAGGAAGAGAAGAACCACGCAGGGATGAAGATCCTAAATTACGAACCCTACCTCCTCTTCTGCTCATACTGGGGGCATCAGGGAAGTTATCGACTATGGGGACCCTTTTAGGGTTAGGGTTTGATGAAGACATGTTAGTACGAGGAAGAAACAAACAAAGATTCAAGAACTGAATATTTTGAAAACTTTATGTGATAAAGACAAAGAAGAAAACTATATTTATACTACGAAGCAACCGTCAAAGGAAAAGGTGCATTGATGGAAAAGTCATAATGAGAACTCACGCTTCGTGATTAGTGAAGCTGTGAAAAAGTCCTAAAAAGCACTGCAAAGTTGCAGATCCAGTAAAAAGGTGCCACGTGTGAAGAGCATTAAATGGAAGTAACAAATGAAGGGTTGATTTTGCTATAGCATTAATGGTGACAAAAATTCCCGTTTTAATGAATTCCACTTCCTAAATATTCAATTGATGAATAAATGGCAAGTGGAGGGACTATCTGTATTGGGAAAATTTGAGTTTACATATTAAAGTGATTGGAAGATGACGTGTCATGGCACGTAGACTGGTCAAAGAGTTATTATTGGCAAAGAGGCACGAGTTGCAACAGATACGAGCAGAGGCATAAGAGGAGGCACGAGCGGATACTCAAAAGATTCAACGCCCGTACCTATTTAAGTCCAAGAATTAAGGAGAATGAATCTGACAGCACAAGAGAGTACAGATACAGTATTTAATGAGCATTAAATACTAAAAACATTAGAGAATCTGTATTAAAATACAGTGATTATGTAACATAGCATTTAATATCTTTAATTGTCTATAATGACTTTATTATGACAAAGGCAAAACACATATTTCCAAGATAGCTATAAAAGGGAAAGAATGGGTCAATTGTAGACACACAAAATACAATCTGAATATATTGGTTTTACTTTGAAGCTTATTGTTGGCAAAAATCACTTTCCTTTATTCATTCTTTAATTATCATTAACCCGAATTCTTCTAAATTATCCATTATCGCAACTTAATTATCCTCTCGCCCTCACAAAAAGGCCAAGCAGAAACCATTAGTTGAGCCAAGTCCAATTTGCTGATGACATTTATTTTAGGAATTAAATTCTGTGCAATGATAATATATACGTAAACTTTTACACAATCAAATTAAATCAACTTATACTATTATCAGACAAATTAGCAAGCCTGATATGATAGTTCAAAAAATAATATATAACCTGCTATAATTGGTTTTAAAAGTTCCCTTTATTTTACATATATTTTTTAGAATTTTACATTAAATATTCATAAGAAAAAAATATCAAAGGCCAACTTGGATAAATGAATAAAGAAATGTGGACGGGGCTCAACTATATTTAAGACAACGGGCCCCTTAATTAGAAAAAGAATAATTAATCAACATATGAACATGTCACCTTATGTCACATTATCATGTGTAATTGCTTGCACGTCCTTAATAAACTATATTTTTGCCAATCTGTCAATTTGGACTGCCCCTCATATTAAAACCCAAAACTTCACAAATTATTTTCCACTACCTTCCCCCACTTCATACCAACTCTTTTCGGCAATCCCATTACAAACTTCTTTTTTCTTACAACACTTTTTCCTTTCTTTTCTAAACGATAAACTAAAAAGAGTTTTGTCCAAATTATAATTAATAAGCTGTAGCTAGTTTTTGGTCATGGAAGATAGGTTAAACAGAAGAAGTACTCCATTTTTTATCAAACAAGAAGATTCCACCGGAACTCCGCCGGATAATGCCGCTGATTCTCCCTTTTCCGGCGATGAAGCTGCTGAAGTTAACATGCCATCTCCTAGAAAAAGGTTTGTAAATTATTCTTTCTTTTTTTTTGTTGAGAAAATGAATCTTAAAATATTTTATGGTCAGTTTTATTCTTTTTTTTTACGGAATTCGGAAAAAATGAAAACTTTGGATAGTTTTCTTATATTAGTATTGGTTTGATTGTATTTATAGTAGGAGAGGAGCAAAAAAGAAAGTAATTACAGTGCCAATTATTGATGCTGATGGATCACGAAGTAAAGGAGAAGTTTATCCACCACCAGATTCTTGGTCTTGGAGGAAATATGGACAAAAGCCAATTAAAGGGTCACCTTATCCCAGGTAATTAAATTAATTATCTTCACTGCATTTTAGATTAAAGAACCATGGTAAATTGAAATAAAAGAAATTTTAAAAATAAATAAAAGTTGCTTACTAAATAATGACAGAATTATTGTTCTAAACAGTCATTGTAGTTGCCGCCGGGGGGTAGTTGGTAAAGGTTTTGATTCTTATCCGGTAGGCTGATGACTATCTTATTATGGACCAATTAAACTTTGCATTAAATTAATGTAGTAGTTTGAATTATGCATTGCTAGTAGTACTTCACTCGCCTACTTACACCTTGCTAATCACGCTCTTTTTTCTGGTATTACCCACTTTGGCAATCAAATTAAAGCGTCGTAAATACAGTTGAAATCTATATTTACGGACTTAAAATGTTGAATTATCCATTAATTACACCTTTTAGCGTATTTGCCAATTAAGGATAAGCACAAAGGCTCATGTATTGTACTTGCTTCTTCTTATAGTATCGGAGCATTTATGCCACTAAGATAGGGGTTCAATTCTAAAGGACAATTCAGTATACAAAGTATCCCGCATTCATGTAAGGTTTGAAAAATGACCATTCCTCAATCGTGTAATGTTGGCAATCTACTCTAATGCAAACATCAATGGCTGATTACATGGCTCGAACCCGTGACTTATAGGTTATATAGAGACAACTTTATTGTTGCTCCATAGCTTCCCTTCAAAGAGTTCAATTCTACATACACTACTAAAAACAATATTTAACGACTGATAAATTCAGTAGCTAAATCAAAAAATTCGTTGCTAATCCTATTCAGCAACGACTTAGCAACATATTATCAAGAAATTTTGTTAGCTACAAGCGATTTAGCGAAGACTAGCGACGAAGTTCGTAGCTAATTCTATTTTTTTGTAATAGTGATATCATTAATGTGGTTGTCCCTTACAGTGGACGCTTTCAAGACATTGTTCCATAATTTATTGTGATATTATTGGTTTCAATAGTATGGCCAGATTGATAACATTACAACCCCAGAAAATATACACTAGAGAAAATTGGAGCGAAGTGGCATTACAAATTTTGAGTTTTTTTTTCCCATACATTTAATGAACTTCTACACCTTGATCTAACCTCGAGTTCCACGACTTCCAAGTGTCTTCATAGCCCACTCTCTTCTCCATTATATTGATGTGAATTCCTCCATAAATATCGATGGTAAATGCAAAGGCACTCATTGTTTTCGGGCTTGACTTTTATAAATGTAGTTACAAAATATCTTAAAATTTATATACTTGTGCCAATTTATATACTTCCTCAAAATCATTTTGTATAACATTTTTTTCTGTTTATATATATATATATATATATATATACTTCAACATTACATTTCTTATGTAATGTTTTGGAGCACAGACTCTAAAAGATCTTTTGGTACGTGTGAAAAGTCTTTAAATATGAACATGCAACAAAAGCGGAGACAATACCTTTTACTGTATGGGGTTGTTTGGTAGGGGTATACGATTAGTACTAAATGGGGTGTATACGTATTGTTGGGATTAGTAACGCTGAGATTAGTTATGCTGAAATTATTACTTATCAATTATCTGGTTTGGTGTATTAAAGGTTTTGAAAGGATTGTTTTGTCTTTATACATGCTTATCCATGACTTCGTGTATTAAAAACTATAGTATTACTAATGCCACGGTTCGCTATAGGTTTGAAAAACACTACCAAACAAGGGATTAATAATATAAAGTTAGCTAATACATGTATTATTTCCCTAACGTACATCCTACCAAAGGGCACCTAATCGGTTTGATAATACTGTGTATTCACTTAATTTTAAGGTCCAATTCACTGTCTTTGGATTTCTAGAAGAAAATGTAATTTGTGAAGAGAGCAAACTTTTATGGGTTATTCAATATTTTTTACTACTATAAAATTTTGGTGGGCTATTAGCACTCTATTTATTATTTCTATCTTTTACTTAAAATGGTGCATGTGTTTCATGCTCAGGGGATATTATCGATGCAGTAGCTCCAAAGGCTGTCCTGCAAGAAAACAAGTAGAGCGTAGCCGCCTGGACCCCACCACTCTCCTCATTACCTACTGTTCTGAACACAATCACCAATTCCCAGCCGCCACCAGCAAACACCACCACCACCCTCCTGCCACCAGTACACCCACCACCTCCACCACATCTACCAATACCGCCGGAGACAACAATGCGGCGGCTGCGGCCACTGACGTCACCATGACAGATAAATCATCTCCTGAAGAATGTGACGTCTTTGCTTATCAACATGACAATGGCTTCTCGGAGCTGGCCGGCGAATTGGGTTGGTTCTCCGATGTGGGAACTCCTACATTTATGGAGAACACGTCATCAATGGTGGGGTCCACGTGGAATGATGCTGACGTGGCTTTAATGTTGCCTATTCGGGAGGAGGACCAGTCTTTGTTTGGTGATTTGGGGGAGTTGCCGGAGTGTTCAGTTGTTTTCCGGCGGTATAGTGTGGAAGCACCGTGTTGCGGCGGTACTGGATAATAACCCACGTGTCAAACTTTCACACTGAAAACTGAAATTACATGTAGATGGACCTCAGTTTGCCACACGAGATACCAAAAGTTTTTTTTTCCTCCTTTTTTTTTTTTTTTTTTTTTTTTTGTTCCACGTTTCTCATGACCCTTTTTTTTCTTCTTTATGTAAAGATCAGGTAGATTGGGACAAAAAAGAAAAGAAAAAACCATACTTTTACTTGATTGAGCTCCTTTTGGCAAAGTTCACCTTTTGGATTATTATATGAGCCTACTTCTGCTTTCTAATGTGGACAGGGATTTAATGTTAACCTAACTTCAGTACATTTTAAGCATCTAGACTGCTAGTTGGCGGCTTTACGTGAAGATTGTCCTTTCACCTTCTTTTCCTTCTTTTGACGAGACAGATTGGATTACGTTTAGCTTCATCTATGTTAGTAAACAACAACAACCCAGTATAATCCAACTTAGTGGGGTCTGGGAAGGGTAGTGTGTACACAAACCTTACCCCTACCCTGGGATAGAGAGGTTGTTTCCAAATAGACCCCCGGCATCCTTCCCTCCAAGAACTTCCCGTCTTGCTCTTGGGGAGACTCGAACTCACAACTTCTTAGTTGGAAGTGGAGGTTGCTTACCATCAGAGCAACCCTCTTGTCTACCTTCATCTATGTTCATAAAGAAATCAAGAAATATAAAACGAAAAACCACGCTATTGAACATGAGGTAGCAAATCATACTGCTCATCTCTTTCAATTTAGATGACACACTTTACTTATTAGTTCGTTAAAAAAAATGACATATTTCTATAATTGAAAATAATTCTACTTTAAACTCGTCATTTTATCCTAGAAGCTTTTATAATCATATAAATGTCATGCCCTCACAAAGGTTTTATCCCTTAAACTTTTAAGACCATAAGTTTCAAATATCTTTTTTTCCCCCTTAAATTTCGTATCGAGTCGAACTACCTCATCTAAATTGAAACGGAATAATGTTAAAATGGAATGGTAACAGGAGATTTTAACGTTACTTTTTTATTCGAATGCTGTGATGAGAGGAAATAAATATATAATCATTTGTAATGGTTAGTTCCTTAATCCTATGCCCAACATCATGAACGAAAAAGAGTCCTGAAAGACAGATTGCAATGATGGGTTAGTAATATGGCAATGGAGAGTTTCCTATTATGAAGCTTTTTAGTTCCATAACATGGAAGGGCTGTTAAATGAAATTCACATGCTAAACCTGCAGATTATCAACAGTTTGATCTTGCCCTATTAATGGACAACAATTTCTACTCAAGAGATAGACAAAAAAAAAATCTAATTAAAATCAAAGGGACAATCGAGACGAAAGATGATATATTGGTAACATGTTATTGGAAAGACCTTGCCACTGTCTCATTTTTTCAAGCTAACATCCAGAACCCATAAAACTAAGACCTTGTTTGCACATTCTGTAATTAGAAACCAACGGTACCTGCTCCTTCGGAGTTTTTCATGAGAACGCTGCTTCGTGTATTCTCATGGCTAGCTTAAATCTTATCCCACAACCAAGATAACCGAAAAAGGAAAAGGAATACCGGGGAGGAAATCATTGATTTAATGACAATTTACAACTAAAACAGCTTGAGCATCGTCTTGCACATTTTTCAAGAGCCCTAGCTTGAACAGCATCCGAACTTTTTCCAGGAAGACCCTTCATCTTTGATGTTAATCGTCTCTCCTTTAGGAGGAGCAGATGAAGTAGCACCTTCATCGCCTGCCTCGACTGCTTTTTTACTGACGATCCGGTATATCTGCGTGAGAGCTTCAGTGAATGCATTTTCCACGTTGGTTGCTTCTAATGCAGAAGTCTCCATAAAGTATAGGCCCTCCCTCTCTGCCAAACCTTTAGCCTCATCAGTTGAAACAGCAACGAGATGTCGGAGATCTGATTTGTTGCCTATGAGCATGACTACAATGTTAGGGTCAGTATGGTCTCTCAACTCCTTCAACCATCTTGTGACGTTCTCATAGGTAACATGTCGAGTGACATCATATACGAGCAAAGCGCCGACAGCTCCCCGATAATAAGCACTAGTAATGGCACGATATCTGGTAGCGAAGAAGAAAAAAATGAAGCATTAGTATAACACCTTAAGATGATAACATCTAATTGACATGAGTTCCTGTGTCTTATTCATTCCCTCTCTATACGACAGTTAGCAACAAAACACATACAAGCAACTACATATTCGCCATAAGCAAAGAACATCAATAACGGGGAAAAAGGGGCACCAAGAGGGAAAAAGAAAAACGTAGGGAAAAGAGATCAAGTATTCAAACATCTGCCTATGCAATTGAGCTTGAATATACGAATATTATATTTACTAACCAAGAAAAATATTGAAAGTTGTGGTATACCAGTATACATGACCTATTTTTTTTTTTTATTATTAAGTAAATACATGACCTATTTTTATTGCCAACAAAACTTTTTGATCGTTTTCTATTAAAGATGCAACTTAAATGTGTTTTAAACACTAACCTAAATACTTTATACATTTATTTCTCAAACTATTCTCCCTAAACAAAGAGATAAGTCCACAACTCCCACTGAAAAAACAACAGGAGAAGAAACCACAAGACAGAAGATAAAGGACCAGAAAGATGAGGTCTACTCCATCTTTCTTCCACTGCTCTATTTTAGGGTTAAGTTGGACAGTNCCCCAAAGAGATGAAATTGCTCAAAGATTTTTAAGCTAGAACCTATGTTGCGCGGACTCTCCAAAATGTAGCCGCACCCGTGTCGGATCCTTCAAACATGCACTACTTTTGGAGGATCCGACACGTATCCGGCTACATTTTCGGAGAGTCCGAACAACATAGGCTAGAACTATTATTCATCTCAGGAAAAGGTTTTGCATACAACCACCAATAGGGAATATATCAAAACGTGGGCTTTACAATAAGCGAGAATTATGATCGATATTTCGTCCAGACTTTCACATCCTTGCCATTGAGAAATGCACAAGATGTCAAATACATATCAGGCACTAAAAAGCCATGAACCAGCAGCTGAACTGTGCCAACAAAAGCACTGCCATGAACTAACACGCATGCTGCACATGTTCACAAGAAATGAGTAGGATAAAGGCAAAGCAACATATCAGAAAGCCACCCAAGGGCATTCAAGCAGGGCTAAATAAATTCATCTTCCTCTTAATTCAGTTCTCATGTTTTATCATACCAGCTCCATATACAATTACGAAACATGTTGTATCACCCTATATTTAACACTGCACCGTGTTTGCACCCAACTATTATGTACTTTTTGTAAGAAACATGAGCATAGAACATCTGGAAGAACAACTATGATGTGATACCATTGCTAATGACATGTAAAACACACTTATGATTCATAAACCTTGTAGCAAATTACGTCAACCACATCCAAAATTGAAAATAACCAGAGGCATTGCTTACTGTATTTGCAAGAAGAAAGAGACCAACCCTTCAATTCACCACAATCATGCCAACTCAATAACCTAATACAAACTATCCTTGGGCATTCTCGTCTCTTACTCTCTTGATAACTTGATCTCAAGAATTTTTTCATTTGGCAAAAACGATGTTATTTTCTGAAGTTCAACTCCAAGCATGTTCTTTACTTTGTGCCTACTTTCTTAGTTTTCACAGGGCATTCTGTAGATATACCCAATCTCTTAACGATAGAAAATTGAGGTATCGAATCTCAGAATAGAAAGTTGACAAAGTGAAAAATTTGTTATACCAACAAGGTAGTGAATTTTTTCATGGCCATAAGTTCTGAAGGAGTCATAGTTTTCACACCTAACTGTCACCAAGAAGCCCACAGCCTTTAAGAAGGATTTTTCTAGGGCGAGACACGGAGGCGGATCCAGGATTTCCGGAGGATGGGTTCACTATTACTTTTTAAAAAAAAAATTAAACCAAAAGGTTGGTAGGGGATTTGATCCCCTGACACTAGGCTATTGGAAATAAGAGACCAAACCCAGTGCACCACTTGGTCTCTTTTGACCATGGGTTCCACCAAGTATATATATCTATTTTGCCAAATTATGTACATCATATCTATATTTTAACCCGAGGACCACGGGTTCACGTGAACCAAGTTTTACATGATAGATCCGCCCCTGGCGAGACATAGAAAAGAGATTACATTGTTGTTAACTAGAAGTTTCGACCAAATACAATTAAATTGGAGTTGCACCAGTGCTAGAGTAAAGTTTTGGTTCCCCAAAATTTCTTTTCTTTCTTCAAGTTCGTTACCAGAGAAATGACTTATACGAGATTTCATTTTCAATTGCCCTTACCAAGTATCAACTGCATTCCTTCCTTTTCTTTCTTAAATAACATAACATGAAAGAATTTACAAACACCAAGGGATATGACCTAATGGCCAATGAAGTGTTCAGAGTTACCGGGTAACTGTACAAGTGGGGTTAGCAAGTAACCGTGAATTCAGTGGAATAGTAAAGGTGCGCGCAAATTGACCCAAACACCACCGTTATAAAGCTACCTAAGATACAAATTTTACTTAAATTGGATCTCAGTTTTTTGGTCAGTACTTTAAGCTGTATCTAAATTACAACTTTGTTTGTATACTAACCACAAACGGGCTTGGTTTAGTTTCTAGCTTTGTTAGACCTATTTCCAAAGATTAATTCCATATGATGTGCGCAAGTATCTTCTTTGTGTACATATAGACTTTTCACTAATTTGTAGTGCATCTAAAGAATCTACTTTCAACAACTCGGATACACGTGTCAATGAAAATGAAAGATCCATGTCAAACATCTATATTTCAAAACGACGATCTATTTTGCAACTAAAAATACACTTTGGTTTTTAAAGGTACTTCCACTCCTTTTTGTTAACCCATTTCGTATGTCTTATAACCCTCAATACTGAACTCAAGCTAAAGCTATTTCATAGATTGAATTCCTTTTGGTATAAACCAATTTTTTTTAAACCTTCTCTTTTTAATTGGCAAATGAAAAGCTATGAAATCAATCAAACAATAAAATGGTCAAGGATCTCAAAAATTACAATAGGGAAAAAGAGTTGCTTCGGTCATTTATTTGTCATATTAGAAAACATATCCTCCCGATGTACTTGTACGGGAACTGAACAAATTCAAGTAATCTCATATAACAAATGTGGAAACAAAAATTTCTAAAACTAGCTTTCAGATTGACACCACAATAGCATCTAGACAGCTAGGAGTATACATAGCATGCAAAAGTGTTGAATTGTGTGATCACCTCATTTAAAAGCCTATTAGAGACAAAACACTTTTATACGTAATTAATTATGTCTTCAAAACACCCTTTGCAAAACATGTAGAAATTCATTTTTATAATTGGTGGCGGTGCAACTTCCATGTCCCTCAAATGGTAATACATATACTACACAGGATTCCCATTCAAGCAACAAAACCACATCTACACACTCATTTACAATATCAATAAACACAAACAATATTCAATAATCCTACAAAAAGAAGCTTAACACAACAAAGCCACAAGCAACTTTCACTTGACTAAAGCGCGAAAACATGTAAAAGCAAGCACTTACTACCACTCTGGAACCCCACAACTTAAATATATTGCAGATTTCATACAAATAAATAAATAAATAAAAGCTCACACACCAATATAAACGGTTATTTAGAGTTCAACAAAGATCATGTAACCAAGTAACAAAAGCACTATAACTAAAGCCACAAAAGCATAATAAGCAAAACCCCAGATACACAAACACAAAAAGAGACATAGATGTCTAAAGTATACTACCAGAAGAAAAGAAAAAAATATATAAATCAGGGGTCTTTTCTTTGTTTTTCAGAAAAGGAGGAAACTTTACCTTTCTTGGCCAGCAGTATCCCAAATCTGAGCTTTAATAACTTTGCTATCAATATTGAGACTTTTGGTAGCAAACTCAACTCCAATTGTAGACTTAGACTCCAGGTTGAATTCATTTTTGGTGAATCTTGAAAGCAGATTTGATTTACCCACACCTGAATCTCCGATCAACACTAGCTTGAATAAGTAATCGTACTCATCATCTGCTCTGTAACCTGCCATCTTTGAAAACAATTACTTTGTTCTGTGTTTTTTGGTTAGGCAAAAAAGTAAGTAAATCACAGAACTCTGCTTCAATTTTTTTTCTTAAAGGCGGAGAAAAGGGGTTGGGACTCTCGTCTGAGGTTGGCTATATTCTAGGAACAGCTTAAAATAGAAATGAATTTCATATCGTGAAATGACGTAACTACCCCTTCAGGTTCTCGTTTGATTTTTTTTTTTCTTTGATTTTTCCGATAAACAATAAAATGAAAAAAAATTGGTAGAGAATAGAAATTACATCAAGTTTCCACTTAAGCAAAAAAGGAATTGAAGTATGTGCAGTAACAACAACAACAACGACCCAATAAAGTCCCACTAAGTGGGGTCTGGGGAGGGTAGTGTGTACGCAGACTTTGCCCCTATCCCGATAGGGCAGAGAGGCTGTTTCCGATAGACCCTCGGCTCAGGAAGATGAAAATAAAACAAGTAAAGACAATTCATCAGTAACGTCAACATAACCATAGAAATTATGACAGCATCCTAAAAACCATAAAATAGATGACATGCAATAACCATAACCCACAACTAAGGTTTAGAGCTATGGAAAACAGTAAGGTTAGTGTGAACTCTACATTAAACACAAGCATGTCTAGGACCAACCTACTCAAACTCGCTTCACCCCCGGAATGGAGGAGGAGAAACTCGACTACCACCCTATCCTACAACCCTAATGCTCGACCTCCAAACCTTCCTATCAAGGGTCATGTCCTCGGAAATCTGCAATCGTGTCAGGTCCTGCCTGATCACCTCTCCCCAATACTTCTTAGGTCGTCCTCTACCTCTTCTCGAACCCACTAAAACCAGCAGCTCACACCTCCTCACCGGAGCATCCAGGCTTCTCCTCCGCACGTGCCCGAACCATCTGAGCCTCGCTTCACGCATCTTATCTTCCACAGAGGCCACACCCACCTTCTCCCGAATATCGTCATTCCTAATCTTATCTATCCTAGTATGCCCTGAAGTATGTGTAGTAAAAGAGCAAAAATTTCAATAACACTGTTTCAATATTCTTTGTAAGCAGATACACGAATTAGCTTGAGTCGTGCTGGGCACTGTCCTAAGAAACTATTTCAGCAGTGTGAAATATTTCTTCAGGATTAAACAAGCTTACCTCTATTATTTAGAGAATACAGGAATCAGCAAAATTAAATATTACAAACCCAGCTAGCAAGAAGGAAAAGTAAATAAGAAAGGAAACAACTAATATTTAATATTAGACAATAAAAGAAGAAGGGAGGAGTGAAAGGAAAGGAGAGGAAGAAATGTTTTTTTGCTGATGGATATTTCCTTGTCAAGTGAGAGCCTAGTTATAGTTGTAATTGCATGAAACTTGGATTTTGCATGGCAAAAACGTGGCTGAACATTTGCCACTTTTTAGTCTTCTTTTGCCACTAATCATAACCTTCTAGAAGGGCTAAAACACTTGTCCAAAGGGCATTAAAATATTGCCACAGTCCCCCACTATTTTAAAGACTTTTTAAAATAAACTTGCTGGATTTGTATGGTCTAAATGCAATAGGTTTGGTGTCTTCTGGACTATGAATCAAACTTAGATCAATAAAAATTAACTCACAGAATTACTGGTGAAATATAAAATTTATGAACCAATAACTCTCATTGTAAGTCAGAGATTTTATCAATCACACTTCGACCCTCACAATTTTGAACGCGGTTTTGCGCCACTAGGCCATGCGCATGCCTGGTGATTCATGAGAGCCATAGAGATTAGGCCAAAATCTCATAGGAGCGGCCCACTTCACTCTCATATAGGTGAATTTATCAAGTGTATACTGCTTTTAAATACACCATTCATAAGGACTATGAATTTCATTAAGAGTTATAACTCAGCCTCTCAATTAGTAGCAGTCAAGCACTCTCTTTTAGTGCTCTAGTGCCAATATCGACTTGTTATTACCCATATAAACCTACTTCATGGGATCTCCAATCACATAGGTTGAGTTACCATCTCTATTGACAACATGTCGGCCTTAACCCCATCTCTTTTGAGGTTTGAAGAATTAATTTTCTTCCCACGGGTTTAGTTAGAGGATGGGCCAAATTTATCTCTGACTTCAAATAGTCAATGGAAATTATTCCATCTCTCAATAGCTATTTTATGACATCATGTCTCAATTTCATATGTCTACTTTTACAATTATAAGATTTATTCTTTGTTATAGCTATTGTCGTCTAGCAATCACAATGTATAGACACAAGAGGCAATACGTCATTTATTAAAGGTGTTGATACCTAATTTTTTCCCGTGTATTTTTTATATGTAATATGCCTTTCAAATAGCATGTATATGCATATATAAGTATACTCCAAGGCTACATTATTTTTTCTTATTTTTTAAAAGATTTTTAAATCAATTTACTCCCCTATTTTATCAAGAAAACCCCAATAATTATTTTTAAAATTATCATCTTGGTGATTCATTTATCGTATTCTCATATTTTTACCAAAATATAGCTAATATATTTTTTACACATTTTTTACAAATTTATTTGGTATTTTTAAGGATAAAATTGCATAATTATAATATTAGCCTCTTTAATGATTTGATTGCATTTATACTTATAAAATTAAGTCCAGTATTTTTATATTTATAGTTATATGTTATAAATTATTTTAGTATATTCAATTTATTTCCAGGATTTAATTTACTATTTTATAAAAAATAAAAAGGGAAAAATGGCTATTTAAAATCTAGCCAGATTTCATTTCGATTGTAGCCTAAATTCTACCCCAATTAAACCCAATTGAACCCCAGCCCAATTCCTAAAATTACCCAACCCATAGCCCGTTTGAATGACCCGCCCGACTCCCCTTTTAATCCAGGCCGTTGATCANTCTCTCAAACTCTCTCAAAGCTTCTCAAACCCTAGCCGCCTTCCACCGCTTCCACCCTAAAAGCCACCGGAATCCATGGCTTCCAAGGCTATGGAAGCCCTATACCCACATCCTCTTGCTCCTGCATGCCTGGTTTTTGAAGGTTCAAGGCCTAACCACGATGAAGTTTGGCCCAGGCTTCGTTCGATTCGAGTTCCACGGCCATCTCCGGCCTTATTCCGGCGTACCATGGTTGTTCGAGCCTGATTTTGACCTCTCCGACTTAGATCGGTGACTCTTCAAAGCCTTTCTCACTACTGGGGTTCCTCTGAAACCCTAACCCTTCGAGGTTTTTCCGATTTCCTTAGATTTGTTCCAGATCCATGCTTTTCTTAAGGTCTTAAACGATTTTCCTAACTTTTCTTTCAAAAAAAAAATACTTTCAAAATCTTTCTTTTCCGATCTAGGGTTTTTCGGAAAATATTTAAATGTTTCTCTGACTTCCTTTTTCCTTTTGTGTGTATTTTCCTCTACTGTGTTCTTGTATTTTCTTCTACCATGTTTTTGTATGCTTCTTCTATTGTATTTTCCTATACTGTGTTCTCGTATGATTTTTCTATTGTATTTCTTCTCTACTGTGTTCTGGTTTTCACCTACTTTTTAGCATGCTTCTTCTATTATTCTTATCATTTTTTTTCCATTATATTTCGTATTAGCTTCTTCTACTCTATTTTTTTTGAATTCTTCTACTATGTTCTGTGTATTACTTGCTATCATCGTTTTCTCATGAGTTTCTGCTGCTGAAAGAAACATGCAAGAGGTTTCAGTTCTTCTCTAAGACCTCTGAGCCTGTTTCGATCACTTGCCTTCTCATCTCTGTACTTGATTAATGGTGGAAACCCTAGAATTTGGGGGTTCTTCCAAGCTTGGTTATGTGATTTGCTTGAACTAAGGTTTCATTTCAAAATCCCTAACTCTTTCAGACCAACTTCGGGTCTCTGAACTGAGTTTGGACATCCTTGTTTTCATATGATTCTGACCTTTTCCTAAACTCTTCTACACTGGATTTTTCTACCGATTTCACAACGACACGACAATCTTCTTTCATGCTTAACATGTTCGTATGCCCCTTATATATGATGAACTTCCCTCTAAAGTGGCTTTCAAATTTGTGATTAGTTCATACTTCCCTCTGAATATGGTCTGATTGATTTCTTTCCATTGCTTGCGGATTTTCTTTGTGACTCGACCTAAGTTAAGACCCTTCTCAGCTTTTGCGACTTGGTTCATTCATGGGTCAGTAATTACAAGATCCCTAACCTTTTATTTACTGGCTGTTAATTGATTTTTTACCTTATTTGTACAACCGTGTACTTCAAAACCCTGTTCCTTAGAGAACTTTTTATGTATTCGCCCATAATTGCCTACTTTGCACAAAAGTGTTTGTTTAATTACTTTCCTTAAATAGTTTACCCGTTTGAATCTGAATTCCTTAATTAAAGGAAGTCTTGTGTGATTGATTCTTGATTGATATTCGGTTCCTTAATTGTTTTCTTACCTTATTTCTGCCGGATTTTTACACTATAAAAGGCACGATCCTTTTCACAAAATAAAAACAATCCTTCTGAACTCACACTCTCTCAATAATATTCTCTTCTTGTCTGCATTGTGGCCTGTTTATAAGACCTACTGCATTTCCTTTATTTGTTTCTTTGAAACTGGTATGTCCTAATTTAAGCTTCAGCATCACAACAATGTGTTTTCCATGTTTATTTACTGTTTCTGTAGAGTTCAATGTTTAAACTAGCATGTTGATTTCTTTCTATCTATTTCTGCTATGAATCCCTGCTCCCTACCCCCTTATGTGTTTTGAGTTATGGTTTAAAACATGGCAATATGTAAGTTACTGTCCATGGATTGAACTTGGTCCCTTAGGGAATCCTAACCTCTAAACAGTGTATTCTAAAAGGCTTATGGGTATGCCAACACTTCCCATTGCTGGGTATGCCCATCAGCCTGTCTTTGCCTATTTACCACCTCCCCATTCCCTATACCCCTATGTGTATTGATGTGAGTTGTTTTCCCTTTCCCTTTCCGCTCTCAGAATTTTATTCCTGCACTTGCACTCTCTCTTAGTCCCTAAGTTCTGCTCCTCTCTTGTGAGCCTTGCCTTGGGACCTTGAGTTCCATCTGAACTTGGACACCTGAGGGCTGGCCCTTTCCACACTGCACTATGTCCTAATCTGGTGATACAT